GAAAAGACCTTCGGCATAGGTGTGTTTTCTTGTTCTCCCCTTCTTTGTTTTATTTGCAATTTGTTCAGCATGAAGCCTGCACATGAAGTAAAAAACATTTCTCATTATTCATATATCTATAATACCCCCTCCCCTCTGTGTGTGTGTGTGTGTGTGTGTGTGTGTGTGTGTGTGTGTGTGTGTGTGTGTATGTGTGTGTATGTGTGTGTGTATGTGTGTGTGTGTGTGTGTGTGTGTGTGTGTGGTGTGTGTGTTCTGTGTATGTATGGGTGTGTATGTTTGCATGGTTATACGTGTGTGTATGTATACGTGTTTACATATATGTGCATCTTCCCTTCCTCCCCTCCCCTCACTCCCCCACCCTCCCAACAGCGACTCGAAAGTGCACGTGACCTGCCCCTCCAGTGCAGCCAACGCCACCTCCTTCTGGATCGAGTGCCAGGAGGGTGTCTGGGTCATTGGCGACCCTGAGAAACACTCCCTCTGTCACCCTAACTGCCCTTCACCCTGCGAGAACGGAGGAACGTGCACGCCCAGCGGAACGTGTCTCTGTCTCTTAGGGTTTGGGGGAAAGTCTTGTGAGGAGAAGGAGACATTTTCGAAGTGCAAAGAACCTCCTCAGCCAGATCCCTTCGGTGATATCGTGCACACGTAGGTTTCTTCATTTATTTACGTAGGTTTTAATTAGTTTTATCTTATTTATTTTGTTTTGTTTCATTTTCTTCCTTCTGAATATTTAATTAATCTCCATTAAGAATGATTAATGATCGTTGAAAGTTCGATAAATTAACCGATATGTCAATAAATACGTAAATACACGAATGAATGAATAAATAGCTAAGATTAAAAAAAAAAAAATTGAAATATGATCGTAAAATGTTAATCTAAAAGTTCCGAGATGATTTCGAAAGAGAACAAAATGAAGAAAAATATGTAAGTTAAAAAATATAGAATTCATATCATAATTCCTTTCCCTTTTCTCTTCATTTGATTTACCTGGAGATTAAATTCCACATTAAAACAGGAAAACAGGAAAAATAATTTTTTGAATTCTTTTTTTATCAATAAATTTGTGTCTCTCTTTTTATTTACCTATCTCTTATTCTTTCTCACTTCCTCTATTCCTCTTTCTCCTCACAGAGACGAAGAAGGAATGCTCAAATGCCACGAGAATTACACACTCAGCAATAGTAAATCTTCGACACGGCTGGTAAGGAGAGAGCGTGGGAGAAAAGGGAATAAAAGTTAGAAGAAAGGGAATGATATAAAGGAGGGAATTGAGAAACCGATTTCGAAGACGGAAGAAGAGGCGAGAAAGATGAAGAGGGACAGGGGCAAGGAAGACAGGAGAGAGAGAGAGAGAGAGAGAGAGAGAGAGAGAGAGAGAGAGAGAGAGAGAGAGAGAGAGAGAGAGAGAGAGAGAGAGAGAGAGAGAGAGAGAGAGAGAGAGAGAGAGAGAGAGAGAGAGAGAGAGAGAGAGAGAGAAAGAGAAGAGAGAGAGAGAGAGAGAGAGATAGAGACATAGAGACATAGAGAGAGAGAGAGAGAGAGAGAGAGAGAGAGAGAGAGAGAGAGAGAGAGAGAGAGAGAGAGAGAGAGAGAGAGAGAGAGAGAGAGAGAGAGAGAGAGTACGAAGAAATCAAAATCAAATGAAATATTTGAAAAAAAAATCAAACAAATAAGTACCTGGCAACCCATTTTCCCGGTGCCATCCCAGGTGTGCCAGAACGACCAGTGGCTCTACTCCGACATCCCCAATGAAACGGAAGTAAAGTGCCAACGGCTGTGCCCAGAAGAGTGCTTGAACGGGGGCATCTGCGTGGCATTCCGGACTTGCCAGTGCCCAAAGGGATTCTCCGGTGCCACGTGCCAGAATTATAGTCTTTGTGATGACCCTCCTCTCCCGCCGCCTAATATGGTTGTCAGGTCAAGGTGAGTCGCTTTCCGAAAGGTTATTTATGGAAGGAAATGATAAATTTGATATTAATGATGATGATGATATTAGTAATGATAATGATAATAATGATAATGATTATGATAACGACGATATTAATGATAGTAAAAATAATGATGATAATTGTAATAACAATAGTAATAATAATGATAATATGATAACAGTGAGGATAATGATAATGATAATAATAAGGATAAAATTATGAAAATAATAATATGAAGAATAATGATAATAATAATGGCAAAAATAATGGTGCCAATAAGAACAATGATAATAATAAAGATAATGATATTAATGATAAAAACTATTATAATAACAAGAACTGTAATAACAATCCAGCTTTACCCTATTTGTTGCAATAATTATTCTTGGTGTTACAGGCAGCCTGTTTAATTTTTTATTCTAAATTACGTCCCGTGTGCAAATGATGGCAATTGTGTGAATGATAAGATTTAATATTAATGACAACGACCACGCCATGGATGTTTCGAAAAGAATTCATGGATTATCATTTTTATTCATTTATCTATCTATCTATCTATCAATTTCTTACAACACAGGTATGTAGTTAGAACCAAACTTGAGGAGAATCTAAAGACTTACATACGATTTCTTTATTTTTTTTCATGTTTATCTTATTCTTCTCTAATAATGATAATATGGAAATGATTATATGATAGCGGAGGTGGTGATGATTAAGTGGATAGAGATAATGGTGATGATAATGGCGAAGATGTAAACGAAAATGATGGTTATAGCAAAGTAAAAAAATGTGTTACAAATGTGAGTGTAAAGATAATGGTAAACAAATATAACATCAAGAAGGCGATTTTAAGAATGATAACAGTGCGAAAATGATACTAATGACAGTCATGACAACAATAGCAATCATAACAACAAAATTAACAACAATAACCAAAGCAACAACAAAGTTAACAATAACCGACCCAACAGCAAGATTAACAACAATAACCAACCTAATAACAAAAACCAACCAACAACAAAATTAACAACAAAAAACAACCAACAACAACATTAACAACAATGACCAACCCAACAAACAAAAAAAACAATAACCAACCTAATAACAAAAATTAACAACAAAACCAACCTAACAACACAATTAGCAACAAAAAAACAGAACGACAACAATATCCGATTCAGAAAAAGCTAAGTAACCTTCCCTGACCTCACCTGACCTCACAGAAACGCCACGTCATACACAGCCAAGTGCTCACCTGGATTCACCTGGAGTGCCCTCCGAGTACCTGACCTCCTCATCACCTGTGAGAATGGCGTCTGGGTCAAGTCTCACCGACACTCTTGCCTTCCCTATTGCCCAGACGGGTGCCTAAATGGTGGCACTTGCGTCGCCCCAAATCAGTGCCAGTGCCAGAAATTCTTTGAGGGAAAAAAGTGCCAGGAGTTGACCTTTGGCACGTGTTCGACGACTGTTGCGTGGGAGAATATGTTGGTTTTTGGAAGGTAAAGGTTTATTCTCTTTTTTGTATTTTATTTGGGTTTGTTTATTTGTTTGGAATGTAGATTACCCCGTGGGATATTGTAGTTTGTACTTTGTTTCTTTGTTTCTTTTTCTTTCTTTTTTAATTTTCTCTTTCATATTGTTTTTCTTCTTTTTATCTATTTTATCTATTTTTTTCACTCTCTCTCTCTCTCTCTCTCTCTCTCTCTCTCTCTCTCTCTCTCTCTCTCTCTCTCTCTCTCTCTCTCTCTCTCTCTCTCTCTCTCTCTCTCTCTCTCTCTCCCTCTCCTCTCTCTCTTTCTCTCTTTCTCTCCTTCTCGCTCTCTCTCTATCTATCTATCTATCTTTTCTATTTATCTATCTATCCCTCAGACTCTTTCTCCCTCTCTCCCATTCACCCTCTGCGTCGGATCTTTCCCCAAAGCTACAGAAACCATGAAGAGATAGATTTTGATTAATTCTCTTTCCCCTCTTTTCCTCCATCCTCTTTCTCCGCCATTCCACCCATTTCCTCCCCCCCTTCCCCTTTCCTTCCCCTTCCACATCCTCCCTTCCACCTTTCTTCCCCTTCCCCTCTCCCCTCTACCTCCCTCCCCTCTCCCCTAAACCTCCCTTCCCCTCTCACATCACCTCTTTCCGCGTCTCTCTTCCAACCCCCTCTCCCCCACCTTTACGCCTTCCCCCTCTCCACGTCCACCTCCTATCCCCTTCTCCGTCCACCTCCTATTCCCCTCTCCCCCCCCCTCCCATCCCTCTCGCCTCCACCTCCCATCCACTCTCCCATCCACCTCCTATCCCTCTCCCCTCCACCTCCCTCCTCCCTCCCTCTACCTCCTTCCCCTTCCCGTCCACCTCCTATCCCTCTCCCGTCCACCTACTCCCCTCCCCCCCACCTCCATCCCCTCTTCCCTCCACCTCCTCCACTCCCTCCACCCCCATCCCCCTCCCCCTCCACCTCCCATCCTCTCCCTCCACCTCCCATCCCCTCCCCTCCACCTCCCTTCCCCATCCCGTCCACTCCCTTCCCCTCTCCCATCCACCTCCCTTCTCCCTCCTCTACCTCCCTTCCCCTCTCCCCCCACCCTTCCCTTCCCCTCTCCCGTCCACCTCCTATCCCCTCTCCCTCCTAATCCTCTCTCCCATCCCCTCTCCCTCCTCCACCCTCTCCCTGCCACTCCACCTCCCTCCCCTCTTCCCCAACCTTCCCTTTCCCTCTCCCTCCACCTCTATCCCTCTTCCCCTCCACCTCCTATCCCCTCTCCCCCCAACCTTCCCTTCCCTTCTCCCGTCCACCTCTATCCCTCTCCCCTCCCACCCTTCCCCTTCCCCTCTTCCCCATCCCACCTCAACCTCCCTCTCCCTCCACTCCACCTCATCCCCTCTCCCCCACCTTCCCTTCCCCTCTCCCCTCACAACCTCCCTTCCCCTCTCCCCTCCAGACCTTCCCTTCCCCTCTCCCCTCCACCTCCTATCCCCTCTCCCCTCCACCTCACATTCCCCTCTCCCCTTCCACCTACCTTCCCTCTCCCCCTCTCCCCTCCACCTCTCTATCTTCCTCTCCCCTCCACCTCCTATCCCTCTCCCCCCACTACCTTCCCATTCCTCTCCCGTCAACTCCATCCTCTTCCTCCATTCCCCTCCCTCTCCCCACCAATACTCCCTCTCTTCCCCCCACCTCCTATCCCCCTCCCCTTCCCCTCCACCTATCTCCCACTCTTCCCGTCCACTCCTTCCCATCTCTCCTCCTCCACCTCAGCTATACCCCTCTCCCGTGCACCTCCCATCCACCCCCCACCTCCCATCCCCCCCCCCTCTCCCTCCCACACCCCTCCACCCCACCCCCTCTCCCCTCCACCCCCAGCCCCCCCCCCAGCCCCCAAGGCCTGTGGCTGCAGTGCGGAAGAGAAGCGCACAGATTCTCCTGGACGGCGGCGCCCATGGTCATGCTCTCCTGTTTCCATGGCAACGGCAGCTGGTTCACCCCCGTGGGATGGTCCTGGGCACTGGATCCTTGCGTTCCCGAGTGCCAGCCGGAGTGCCTAGGGGGAGGGAGGTGCATCGAGCCGGACCACTGTTTGTGTCCGAGTGGGGTTTCCTCTTCGCAGTGTATGGGCGGGCAGGGGTGTCACCGCATGCCCAAGGTGGTGAATGCGACGGCGGAACCGGAGGCGTAGGTGTTGTGTGTTGTTTGTTTGTGTGTTTGTTTGTTGTTTGTTGTTTGTCATTTGTCGTTTTGTTTGTGTGTCGTGTGTCGTGGTGTCGTTTGTCGTTTGTTGTTTGTCGTTTGTTGTGTGTTCGTGTGTTTGTGTCGTGTGTCGTTTGTGTGTGTTGTTTGTTGTGTGTCGCGTGTCGTTTGTTGTGTGCTGTTTGTCGTTTGTTGTGTGTCGTTTGTCGTTTGTTGTGTGTCGTGTGTTGTTTGTTGTGTGTCGTTTGTCATTTTGTGTGTGTCATGAGTCATTTGTGTGTCTTGTGTTTTTGTTATGTCATTTGTTGTGTGTCGTGTGTCATATGTTGTGTGTTGTGTGTCATATGTTGTGTGTTGTGTGTCATATGTTGTGTGTCGTGTGTCTTTTGTTGTGCAATATGTTGCGTATCGTGTGTCATATGTTGTGTGTCGTGTCATTTGTTGTGTGTCGTGTCATTTGTTGTGTCGTGTGTCATTTGTTGTGTGTCGTGTGTCTTTTGTTGTGTAATATGTTGCGTATCGTGCGTCATATGTTGTGTGCGTGTGTCGTGTCATTTGTTGTGTCGTGTGTCATTTGCTGTGTGTCGTGTGTCTTTTGTTGTGTAATATGTTGCGTATCGTGCGTCATATGTTGTGTGTCGTGTGTCATATGTTGTGTGTCGTGTGTCATTTGTTGTGTGTCGCATGTCATATATTGTGTTTAATGTGTCATATGTTGTGTGCCGTGTGCCACATATGTTTCGTGTGTTATTTGTGTATCGTGTACTGTGTTATGTGTCATGTACATCATTTACCATGTGTCGTGTGCTGTGTCGTGTTAAAGCGTTAGGAGTATTGTGGTTTGTGGTATGCTTTATGTTTGTGTGAGGGATGTGCAGTCTACTGCGTGCCGCATGTGGTATGTGTTATGTGCAGTGTGGCGTGTAGTATGTGCTACGTGTCATTTTTCATTGTGTCATGAATAAAGATCCACTTGGTCACGTCATGCGTTGTTTAGCCTTTATTATGCCACGTACGGCACATATCATGCGTCATGTGTTGTGTTTTCAAACTTTTTTTTACTGCATCGTTCTTGGGACAAACAAGAAGAATAAAAAACTCTTCATAAGGACTCTGTCACAGAAATAAAACCTTTGACGATTCCAAACGCCGACACACTTCCCCTATAAATTCTTTTGATTTGCATGACACTTTTCAGCTTGCGCCTCGCCAAGGTGACCTGCCGACCGGGTCATGCAACAGCTCTGGGCCTCAAAACCTTCTTCATGAGATGCCACCATGACCTGTGGTTAGTGGTCGGCCTTGCACACAACAACACAGAAGACCATGTCAGTTGTCAACACCAGTGCCAGGCGCCGTGTCTGAACGGAGGTTCCTGCGTGGCCCCCGAGGAGTGCCACTGCCCCCCTGGGTTCGCTGGGGAGAGGTGCCAGTACCACGAGTGCGGCACTGTGCCTCTCATCATCCACAGAGCCAGCGTAGATGTCAGGTAATGATGGAGGTGAAAGTATTGGTATCTTATTCAGGGTTTGATATGTCGTAACGCTTTCCTGTGCCGGGAATTTGTACTATTCAAGTAGTCTGTTTGTATTTGCGTTTGTTTGTTGAATGAAATTACAGTAACGTTTGTGTCTTTGCGTAAGCTGATGATATCATTCTTGAAGTGCGCGGTGAGGGGTGCGCGGCGGGGGTGCCGCGCGTGAGGGGTGGGGTGGGTGGGGTGAGGCGGTGCCGGCGAGGTGGCCGTGGCGTCAGCGCGTGCGGCGCGGCAGTGGAAGTGAAGGTCGGAAGGGCTGCTTTGTCTGTGGTGAGGTGGGAGCGGTTGCAGTGACGCATTTATTGTGTGTTCGTGGTTCTATGTTACATGTGACTTTGATTTGCTCCCTTCTTTCTCTTCCCTCCGCATTAGGTCTCCTCCCTCTCCCCCCTTCGTTGCTTTCCTTCTCTCTTCCCTTTCTCCATTCCCTCTGTCCCTACTCCTTCTCCCTTCCTGCCTTTTCCCTTTCTTCATCTCTCCTCTCCCCTCTTCTTCCTTTACCACCATCCCTCTTACTCTCACGCCTGTTCCCCCGTCCTTACACTACCCCCTTCTTTCCTGACCTCCCCCTCCCCCATTTCTCCATCTCCCCTCGCATGTATCCCTTACAAAACCCCATTCAGCCAAAGAAATGCATTAGAGCTACCCCTCCATTATTCCGGAGACAAGTCTAGGTACATCAGTCGACGCTCTGCCCTATCAGTGCCCATCTTCCCCCTTCCGTGCACAGCGCGTCACTGGGCCACTACAGCTGCCGAGCTGATGGATGGTGCGTTCGAGTCTCACTCCCTATGGCTGCGCCACAGCGGAGTCAACGAACCAAGGCTTGCGCTGGAGTTTAAGTGGTGGCGTCTTGTGCCGTCGTCTTCTGTAGGTGTAGTTTGGTCATGGCCCTGGAGCGTTGTCTAGAGTCTGGCGTGGATTGTTTGTTTATTCATTGTTTTTTGTTTGATTGTTTATTTGTTTAGTTACTGATGTTGTTGTTTTATTGGTTTGGTGTACCATGGAGAGGGAGAGCGAGAAAGAGGGATGCAGAGCGGGAGAGAAGGCAGCAAAGCAGTGAAGGTAGAGGAGAGAGCGGGAGAGAAGGGAAAGGGAGAGAAGATGAGCAGAGAGAGCATGAGGAGCGAGAGACGACTTTGAGATTCGATAAGATCGAGAGAATGTATGAGGAAGAGAGAGAAGATGAGCAGCATGAGAAGTAGAAGCATGCATAGAGAGTCTGAGAGCAGAAGAGACGAGATGAAGAGTGGAATGAGATAAATAAGTAAGAGAGATGAGGAGATGAAAGTGAATGATAAAAGAATAGAAGGAGTATATAATAGGTATGATAATTATACCCACAATCACCACACAGAGAGAGAGAGAGAGAGAGCAGCACGAGAGGACAGAGAAGAGCGAGCAGAGAGAGAGCCGTAGAGCAGCAGGAGATGAGATGAGAGAGAGATGAGAGCAGAGAGAGCGAGCAGAGGAGAAGAGAGAGAAGAAACAGATGTTTGTTTTAAAGATTCTTTTATTGTTCGCTTAATTGTTATTTGGTCGCTATATGCCGAATTATCATTCCCATTCCTCTTCTATGCTTGGTTATGCATTCATCCGGATGGTATGATTGTTATGGATTTCACAATATCATTTTTGAATATGTTATCCCTCTTTATCAATTGAAAGACAACTGCCCACATCACGTTTCCATGAAACTAAGCAGACTTACCCTTCCATTTTACCTTAATATCACCCCCAATCTTTCCCTCCAAAAGGTTAAAAAGAAATGTCGTTGAGAACAGAATGGGAAAGAAGACGTGCATATTTCCCTTCCAACACGAGGGCGAAGAACACGACGTCTGCATCACGACCGAGGACAGCTGTTATCCGACCTGTCCGACCCAAGTGGACGCGCGTGGATACCCTACTGAATGGCACGCTTGTAGTCCTGATCAAGGTGCGTTTGAATGGGGGGCTGTAAGAAAGGGTTAGTGGGAGCGGGGATAGGGGTTGTAAGAATGGGTTAGTGGGGGCGGGGATGGGGTGGGGATGGCGGCTGTAGAATGGGTTAGTGGGGGCGGGGATGGGGCTTGTAAAGAAAGGGATAGAAGGGCGGGGATGCGGGGCTGTAAGAAAGGTTAAGTGGGGCGGGGATAGGGGCTTGTCAAGAAAGGGGATGAGAGGGGCGGGGATGGGGGTTGTAAGAAGAAAGGGTTTAGTGGGGGCGGGGATGGGGCTGGACGAAAGGGTTAGTGGGGGGCGGGGATGGGGGTTGTAAGAAAGGGTTAGTGGGGGCCGGGGATGGGGGCCTGTAAGAACAGGGTTGTGGGGCGGGGATGGTGGGTGTAAGCGCGGGGTTAGTGGGGGCGGATGGGGGTTGTAAGAAAAGGGTATTAGTGGGGCGGGGATGGGGTTGTTAGAAGGGTTAGTGGGGGGCGGATGGCGGGCTGTAAGGATAGAAGGGGCGGGATTATGAGAAGGGTTAGTGGGGGCGGGAATGGGGGCTGTAAGGAAAGGGTTAGTCGGGGGCGGGGATGGGGGGTGTAGAAAAGGGTTAGTGGGGGCGGCGGAGATGGGGGCTGTAAGAAAGGGATAGAAGGGGCGGGGATGGGGGCTGTAAGAAAGGGTTAGTGTGGGCGGGGATGGGGGTTGTAAGAATGGGTTATTGGGGGCGGGGATGGGGGTGGGGATGGGGGTGGGGATAGGTGGGAGGGTGAGAGGCATTGGGGAGGGGGGTAGGGGAGATCATGGGTGAGAGGTTGAGGTGGAATGAGGTGGGTGGGAGGTAGGGGTGGGTCGTGGGGGCGGTTGAGAGGGTTAGCGGTAGGAGAGGGATAGGAGGGATTTAGAGATTAGTAGGAAAAAACAATAAAAAAAAAACGGTAGATGGATAGATGAAGATCGAAAGATAGATAGGAGAAGACAGAGAGATTATAGAGACAGATAGATTGATTTGATAGATAGATAGATAGATAGAGAGAGAGAGAGAGAGAGAGAGAGAGAGAGAGAGAAGAGAGAGAGAGAGAGAGAGAGAAGAGAGCAGAGAGAAGAGAGAAGAGAGAGACAGATAGATAGATAGAGAGACACAGAGAGATAGATAGATAAAGAGAGAGAGAGACAGTTAAATAGATAGAGAGACTCAGGTTGAAAAGAGATCGTTACTTAATTCCTAGTTGGAATTACTGAAAGGGTCATGAGTTTTGTTACTTAAGAAGCTAAAAGAAATGATGAAGTTCCTGAATTAGACGAATGGAACAAAAGTAAATAGATAAACAGATAGATATATAAACAAAGAGAAACAGACAGATAAGAGCTAACCAGAAAAAAACACAAAACAAAAGACCAACATATATGAAAATGAAAACAAAAATCATTAAAAGCCAATAGAAATATACACAAATCACCTCGTTATGCTTCTCCACAGGTCTACAAGATATAGTCCTGACAACGAACGGCAGGAGCTGCATTTTCCCTTTCCTGTACATGAAGGAGTGGCTCTCGGAGTGTGTTGACGGGTTACAAGGGCCTTGGTGTCCTACTTCGGTCACGGGACAAGGAGAGCCACTGGATAAGGATATTTGCTGGTTGGATAAAGGTGGGGGTTTGATGTCGCTGTTTTTGTTGTTGTTGTCTGTGGTGATGGATTTTATGTTGTGTTATTTGGGTGTATATTTTTTGTTCTTGTTTTGTGATATACTGTTGGTAGTGAATAAAGGCTTTTTTTTAGTTATTTGCTTTTAGATTGGTTGTCTCACTTACCTCTTCTTTTGTGTATCTGTCTCTCTTCATCTTCCTCCCCCATCTCTCTTTCTTTCTCTTATCTCTTTTTCTCTCTGTGTCTCTTCCTCTTGTCTCTCTTTTTTCTCTTTTTTCCTCTTTCTCTTTCTATCTTCTTCTCTCCTCTTGTCTGCACCCCTCTTCTCTCTGCTTCTCTTTCTATCTCTATCTCTTCTTCCTTTTGTCTCCCCCTCTTTCTCTCTCTCTCCTCTTCTATATCTCTCTTCTCCCTGTTCTTACTCTTGCTCTCCCTCTTAATCTTGCCTCCCCTCTCTCTCTTTTCCTTTCTCTGTCTCTTCTCCTCTTGTCTCTCTCTTCCTCCCACCGTCTCCCATTCCCCTCTTCACCTTATTTACCCCCCCCCCAAAAAAAAAAAAAAAAAAAAAGTACAGCACCACAACACTTCCCTTTCTTTCACTTCACAGGATTCCAGAGGGTTGAAGTGACCGAGGAAGGGCGTCCGTGTGTCTTCCCCTTCATCTATGAGGGGACGAGACACTACACCTGCATGGGATCTGGGGATACGTGGTGTGCGACCAAAGTGGCGGAAGACTTGGCTCCTCTGGCGTGGGGACTGTGCGCAGGCCAGGGAGGTGAGGGGGATCGAGTTATTAGTATTATTTTTATTATTTGTTTAGATTTTTTTTTTTTTTTTTTTTTGGGGGGGGTTGTGGGTGTGGGCGTGTGTGTGGGTGTGTGTGTGGGCGTGTGTGTGTGTGTGTGTGTGTGTGTGTGTGTGTGTGTGTGTGTGTATGTGTCAGGGAGGTGAGGAGAATCGGTGTTTGGGTTTGTTTATGGGTGCCTTCGTGGGTGATTGCGTTTTCTGTGTGTCAGGGAGGTTAGGAGATCCGATTCTGTCTATTCTGTGGGTGTTTGTGCGGGTACTGTGTAGTAGGGTGTTGAGTCCCTATTTTATTTTGTGCGGATATGTCTCTGGGCGCTTATATGACTGCCTGGATTTTAATTAATTTCTTGTATTCTATTTATCTTTTATTTTTTTTAGGTTGGGAAGAAAAGGGAGATTGGGACAGAGGGAGAGAGAAAGGGAGAGAAGATGAAAGAGAAGGGGGGAGGAGGAATAGGGAGAGGAAGTTGGATATTTGTTTGTTTGTGTGGATATTTGTAGCCATGTACGTGGGTTGGTGGTAGTGTTTGTGTGTTGTGTGTGTGTGTTGGGGGGGGGGGGGAGGAACTGGAGAGGAATGTCGGTAAATTTGAAGGCGTGTTTATGTGGATACGTGTCTGCATTTGTGTGGGTTAATCTAGGGAGAATATGGCGTAAAGAAAGCGAAGAAATCGAGAAAGTCGGACAGAGAGAGAGAGAGAGAGAGAGAGAGAGAGAGAGATAGGGAGCTATATTTTGTCTTTGTATTTTTCTTCGTTAAATTGTCTCTTGACACCTGTGTACTTTTATTTTTTTCAGAGTGCACAGATGCAGTCTGCCTTGAGTATGGGCACCATCGTAAGTATATTTTCTTTGTAATCTGTTTCTCATATTATATAATAATAGTAATGATGATGATAGTGATAATAGTAATGATGATGATAGTGATAACAGTAATGATGATAAAAATGCTGATAT